CACAAGTCAGGGGTTGACAAAATTTATTACCTGTTTCAACTGCATTCATCCAGAGATCTTTGAAATGTACATGTCAATAAGTTCAGTAAATATCTTATTGTCTACACAACTGGCATTATATTATTGAGAATTTTCATAGCTTATGGGTCACATGACAATACATCTGAAGTTTTAAGTAGTTTTTTGTTAAAATTTCTTTTGAAATAAAGGACTTACAACTTAGATAACATAAAACTCTGAATCATAAAATACATTATAATGTTAATTTCATTCACATACATTGAGAGTAAAAGTGTTTAATTAAATATTAAATGTAACACAGGGATATGTGCAGAAAAGGGTTGAAAAAGGGTCAAAAGGGTTAATGAGAATACATCAGATAAGTTTAGTGAGATTTCTGAGTATGGTAGAGATAGATATTCTGATGATTTGATTTTTTTATTGAATATTATTTTTATGATTTATGCATTCAAACAATGCACATAAATAAATTGACTAACTGGATACTTATAATTTCTAATCTCAATCATGATATGTTTTAAATATAAAAATTATTACCATTATCAGTAATAATAAAATTATTTTATCATTTAGTAATTAAGTTGTTTGAGTTACACAAGATTAATGTGTGAATTACTTCATATTTTAAAAACAAAAAGAAATGGCAATTTTATGGTCATCAGAGCATTTGGAATTTGCCAACTAGTAAATGTTTCAATTACATTTTCATAAAATTTGCCCTGAAATAAGTTTTTTTTTAAAAAGCAAAAATGGTAACCACCAGTGGAAACACAAAGATTCTATCATATTACACAAAGGATAATTCAAAAATGTCTGTAAAAAAATAGGAAGATTAATCATGTGGCAATAATCGATTAGTTCAGTGTATCTGATCGTTATGATTCTGATGATTAATTGATTAGAGAATTCCTGTAATTCCCCCTTTCTCATATCAGTTCATTTTTGTTTAACTCCAACACTGGTACACCAAATTTGTCCTAAATCATGGATGTGAATCCTGATTTTTTGTTAGTTTTTCTGTGTTTCATTGTTTTCTCATGTTCCATAGCAACAACACGCTCACTAAACAAATACTGAAATAAACATTGTCACTTTAGTGCTAAAAGAAATGATAAAACATATCTGTTGTTCAAAACTGATTTTTACCATGAAATATAAAATGCATATTTTATTTTTTTGGTCAAGTAAATAAGTTAGATTGACTTTTATGTAAATTTTATTTATAAAACAGCAAAAATAACCCAATTGCACAAAAATTAAGGAAAAACATTTTAAAATGAAAATTCATTTGCATAATATAAAAAATAAATTCTAAATCTACAAGTGACAGTAATTGTAATATTAGACCACGTTATACAACACCCCCTTTTCAAATAGGTGATGTAACAAACAAAGTATCATAAAATCTTTACCTTACCTTCTCATAGAGTGTTCCAGGTACGGTGTGAAAGATACTACTAGTGATTAAGCAAAGTAAACTATTTGGTTATCATACAACTTTAACTTTGAATATAATGCAGTAGAGAACTTCTTTCTTTTTGTTATAATATATATGTTATAATATATTTGATTTTTTAAATATACTAGCAGAAATACCTGCTAGTTCCTGTGAAAGGCTATTGGGCATGCGGCCTTTTCTGGAATCTTCTGACAGTTTTACAACAATGCACTTTACTTGACATTCAATAATGTTCATGATCCATGACAAAAACGATTTTATCAAAATTTTTGTTTAAAAATGATATATCATCACAGCATTACATCACAGAGTAGATTTTATTGAAGTATTTCTTTGTAGATGCAGTTATCAATGAAAGTGCCTTGCTTTTCTGTTGCAACACTCATAAGATTTTCACTAAAGAAAAACAAATAATTAATTTTAAGTTTGTTTTTTGATTGTTTTATATTTGAAACTAACTTCTTTTTGTTTGTAATATTTATTGGTTAAATCTAAAATATATCATTTCAATTGTTTTATTTATTGGTCAGCTATAAAAATACTGCCTAGTTATAAAAATATTACCCAGTTATGATTGGTGATGATAGGTGAGATAGTTTCTGAGATCTGAGTTTTGGATGTATACATCGCAAGCTTAATTATAATAAGATTGTTTACACTTACTGCTTACATGTGCAGTAAACAGCAAAGAAATATCTTATAGAAAGTAGGAACTGGATGGGCTATGGAGAGATCATACAAAGTTTTTGCTTTGCTTGATTTCATTAATTAAACATTTGACACCCAGGCTCAACTCTTTAATATGGGATCACTAGTTCCAAGTCTATGGCTGATTTGCATTATTTTATTACCATGATAATTCAGTTTTTTTTTATACCTCAATGCAATAATCATCAAATATTTTACAACATTACAACCTATGCTACAGTAATCATGGTAACACTAGATTTGGTTCAGCATGTTTTGCTATGAAAAGCTTTATGTTTCACTTGTAAAATATGGTTTAATGTAACTTCAACTTAAGCTGTATGTTTACCAAGTGACTTGCATCTTATGTAGTGGGATTATTAGTTGGACATAGTTCAAAGGGCAATAAAACTTAAGTATAAATAGATGTATGCTGTTACAAGTTATAACCTATTTAGGATAAACAATTATAGTTTCCTGTTACAATCCTCAGTTACAATACTTGTAACTCTGAATATAGTGTGTATATCTTCACAAAATTTGGCATCTTTCAGTAAATATTACAAGTCTTTCACATACAAAAAATAATATTTTTTAACGAAGTGTTTTAAATAAAGTATAATAAAGATTTGTCCATTAATATATTAAGTATTTGTTTGAATAGTCCGTGTGCAAAGTAATTTTCATGTTAAAATTAAAATACTTTTCCTCATCTCAGAAATCACAGATTTCCTTTGTGTAATCCCTAAAACCTCCTGAATGCATTTCATACATTTTTTTCAGTAAAACTTTATAGTTTATCTTATTTTATCCACCCTATCTCAAAATGGGATTGGTCAATTCGACCGACCTTGTAACCACCAAAAAAATAAAAATAATAATAATAATCCTACATTCACTTATCCTAAGTAGCTCTAAGTTCGTAACAGTATACAACTTTATATATATATATACTGCTCTTTGAACGATGTCTTACTACTATCCTCACCATTATAAGTTCTAAATCACTCGGGGAATGTGTAGCTCATGTTACACTATAGAATTACATTACCCACGAGCTGCTCGCGTGCATGTCTCATGAACCATTTTAATTATATTATTATTATTTATTTTAACTAATCTAGTCTTAAATAACTTAAAAAGATCTGTACTTTTAACTTTAGTTACTTTTATAATAATAAATAAAGAATAACTATGAAAAACAAGAAATAAAGTACTTACTCAATCTTGCTTTTTTTCTTGCTATCAGGTTTTCAGAGAGTTTAACCCTAATTGTTTATACTATAGATAGTAATGCACTTAATAATTTTTATTTAATTAAATAATGCACCAAATAATATAAACTAATAACATGTAAAAAGTGGACAAATTCACTTACCTTTCAAAATTTTCCTGGCTTTCTAACTATGTGACAAGATCCATTACAAATTCATCCAAGCTAGTCGTTAACTTTCCCACAGAAACGATGTTCGTACTCTGAATGAAATTGACATTTAACCCTTCAAAACATAACATTATACAACACATCATTTGATAGATGAAAACCTTGACTTTCTATTGGTTATAGGTAATATATAATGAAATGTATGAGAGAACTATCAAAGAAAGAGTGGGTGTGGCGGGAGGGGTCTGATTTTCTAATTGATAGCTCTGTAACCTAATAAAAGTGAAGAGTATAAAGATTATGGTTTGTCTGAGCAATAACGATTTTATAGAGAGTAGTTTATGTTTAATTTGATATTTGTTCGAGGAGTGATGGATAAAATAGGGATGATGACATGCTAAGAGAAAATGTGTCACGTAGGTCACACTAGTGTAAATTCAGGATTGTTTTTAATATTGCCTTGTAGAATTAAGAACTTAAAACTTATATACTATCAAAATATGGATTATTAGCTAAGATTTTATGCTATTCTAATTGATATAACATAAACAAAAAGTAGTTTAATAAAATTTTAAATGTAAGACACTAAAACCTTGTGTCATGCGCATTAAAGGATACCCAGGGAGATAGGGTAAAGCAAATGAAATTTGAAACTTTTCAGATGAAGAAAAGAATTTTTAATCATAACATAAAATTCACTTTTTACTCAAAGCAGTCAACACTCTGACTCCATGTAATTACAGACAAAGTTTTGATAAAACTACCTAATTAAAAATTCAGATTTTTTGTCTACAGAAGTCTTTTAATGTTTACTGAAATCTTTCCAAATTTCTTTAAGATATTTAACTACTTTCAGAGTTATACAGGTATACGGTATGTATGTACAGTATGGTGGTTACGAGGTTAAAAGGGTTAAGAGAATGTTTTCTGTTTTCTTGTAAATCCAGTCTGTTTAATTTTACTCTGATTCTAGATTATTCTCAAGCTCTGCTTAATCACATATTTCAATTGTAATGTTTTAGGTTATTATTATCTTCCTTTTTAAAACTAGAATTATGGTAAACCACTGGTCCTATGACACTCTAGTGCCCTTCTCCTTTTCATTGTGGCTAATCTAGCTTTTAGTATTTCAGATGCAAGCCTACCTGATTTGAATTTTATATTTTTATAATTGAAATGAATTTCAAACAGGTACCTTCTTCTGAAATACATTCCTACCCATCTCTCTTCAACCAGATGATACATGAGTGTTTCAGTCATAACTGCAACTTAGAAATTTGATTTTTATATGATCTCCTGATGCAGGCACAATAAGTCATGTAGAAGTGAAAGAGTTATGGGTTAGTTGATACACGAGAGTAACTCATAAGAGACAGGTTTTTAATCTTCCAAAGGTAAGTACTTGTTAGAAAATCATTTTAATTCTAAAAATGTAAAATCTTATTTCAGAATCACAATGGGAAACACCAAATGAAGAATATGTCACCTTAGCAGAACAGCAAGAACATCAGGTAAGTTAAAAACACTTTTTTTATATAACAGTGGAAATATTAGGAAGAAGATAAATCATATTTTTTAGTCAGTTTTACAACAAAGAAGAACTTGTAGTTTGAAATTTTACTGTTTCCTTTAACTAATTAACCTAAATAAGTCTTTTTTTATAATGGTAATGAATTTTTTGGTTAATTTTTAGTTTTCTTTCCATTTCACCTTTGAGATGAAATTGAAATACTATACATATTAAATATATAAGATTTGGATTTACAATAGGGAAAGAATTAGAAGAAACAAATTTTAAGAATTTTAACAATAAACCCAAATTAATACAGTTATTTTCAATAAAATCAGGGCACTCAATTTCTTCAAAATTGTGAGTTTCCACAGAACAATGAGCCAGGTAAAATTAAAATCTCAACCTTCATTTGTCCTCTAGGCATTGGTTTTTTGCATCATTCCAGCAACATGTGCTGATCAGACGACCACCTCCACCAATCCCATTGTGCCCTCTATACTAGTGTAGGTAACCTCCGTCTACCATTACAACACAATCCTTACTTTCTTGATTGGCACTACAATGTTCAGATGTGTATTTTCAGTTATTTTTCCAGTGAAGTTTGCTATGTTTTTGTATATTTTTTTGCTAGTTTTCTCTTTTCATTAGAATTACTTGTTCCTTTAGTAGTTCCTTTACTATTTTTTTTCAAAAGTCCACGTGAACTTATGAATTCCAATTTTCATGTGATGGATGAAGAAGTTCCTGCCAATATGGACGAAACTCATGTCACTGGTCCCCAGCATGGCGAGTTGTTGATGTTGGCCAAGGAGATTCAGGCATTAGTCTGGTGGGAATTGGACACTTTCACTGCTTCTTCTGATCATTCTCTCTTCCCAAATGACCACACTTCTGAAGAAGTTTTTCCTCAGGGGGAGGACAATTTCATCTCGGTTTTTCCAGCCCAGTATTTTTTTGGACAGCCACATAATGCTGACAGTCAGGAGAGTCTGCCGAGCATGCTTGTCTTACACCTTATTGATCAGGATTGTCAAAATTTACATCTTCCATTTAGCATTTAATTTTTCTACTTCTTCCTTGTTGGGTGAAGAGCCTCATTCCTATTATTTTCCTCCCTCTCCTGAAATTCTTGTTCATGCTCAACATTTTGCTGCTCAAGTACAGTTGGAAGTGGATATGCCTCGTCTTTTTTACCAATTCTCTTTTGCTTACTAATGTGCCTCGATTCCCTATTTGGATTCTCAGCATTTAGATCATCTCCTTCCATTGTGTGGATCTAATCTTGATCCCTTGGTTCATTTTAATAAGTCCCAGTTTACTACGAATTGCATTACATTAACCAATCTTTTACATGTTCTTTCCTCTTTACAATTGTTGTCTCAAGCCTTCCACCAGTCTCCTGATCAGTTTTTGGCCGATCTCTGGACCCTCCTGTGGTCTACTATGGCCCACTTGTCAGCATCAGCCCTGTCTCTCACCACTTGGATTTGATGTTGTTGGGATTTACTCAGGAGGGATGCATTACTTCTGGGAGTGCATCTCCCCCTTTCATTTTTACTGGAACTTCATCAGGCCCCATTTCTGCACAAAATGGCCTTTGGGGGCTTCATGAGTCTTTGGAATCTAGAGTCAATGTGGCAAGATTGCATTCTTCTCTGTCCTCCTTTGCTTTTCATTTGTCTCGCCCTACTGATTCTGCTCAATCTTTGTCTGTTTAAGTGCCCCATGCACCTTCTTCTCTGCCCCGCCCTTTTCCATACTCCTGATGTTCTCTTCCTTATACCTGTTCTTCCAGTTCCTCACGGCTTCACCATTATCGGTGACTGGATGTATTTGCATGTGTTGGTGGGCTAGGTTAAAACTCTTTTCTGAAATCTGGAAACCTTTCACGACGGATCCATGGGTGTTATGGGTTCTGTCAGAGGATCTATGTATTCAATTCCAGTCCCCTTTTTCCCAGTTTTAATTCCTCCTCCTCAGGATTGTGTATCTAGTGGAGTCAGTTCTCTATCTTCTTCACAAGGGTTCTGTAGAATGTGTGGTGCCTGTTTGTCCAGGTTTTTACTCCTGTCTGTTTGTTGTTCCCCAATAGACAGGAGATTGGAGACCTATTATCGATCTATCCCAGCTGAATGCCTTTTTGGAAACACCCCAATTCACTATCGATTCATTCTACCACTCTCTTTAACCCTTTTGCCCCTGGTATGTTAAAGTGCAAGTCACGACATTTTGGAGCGTTATTTTCAAAATTTTATTAAACAACATTTTTACTACTTCAATGAAATTGGCATCGAAACATAGTTTATAATTTAAATTCTGATATAATATATATGTTTTAATTTCTTAATTTAAAAGGAACTGTAAAAAAAAAATGTTGAATATCAATTTTGTGTGTCACATAAAACATCTAGTTGTCTTATTGTTCAGTTGCCATTTTATTATGCCCACCATACAACATGTATAAGTAGCTAACAAATTAGACACTCAAATTAGAAATATAGACAAGCTAAATATAAAATAAGAACCTCCCTCCTCTATGATTTGCTGAGATAGCAATATTTTTAGCAAGTCTACTAGAGTGGCTCCTCCCACTGCACCTATCTTTTGAAAGCTCTTATCTAGTCCCACCTACTACTAATTAGCTACTGCTTATAACCAATAGAAAGAACATTTTCACCCCTACGTAACTCTGACAGTTGTTTATAAATAGCTTGAAGGAGAAAATAATTTTGCCAAAACCATTGAAGTGTGATGATTTAGTCTTTGCTCTGAACAGGAATGGGATGTTTTTAACCCATATACAGTTTATTTAGAGACCCGACTAAATTACAGGGATTTTGAGTGGACTAGTACACATATTTGAAGTTTAAAAAATTAGTATCTCTATTCCCTCAATCCCAGAAGAATAAACGAGGCTTATGTCAAGGCCTAGCAAGTTCGATGCATGAGCAAAAAATTTCGTAACACTGTCAGCATATTTCTCATTTACTTTCTAAGTGTGGTGAAAGTGAGAGAGGGTAGTATCATTTATAAGAATGTGCCCAAATAACACCTTCATATACTTATGCTGCAAAATTCCACACACATTATATGGGTGACCAGTAGTACTGAAACACCTGCTATGTAATTGGATAAGCCCGGCTCAGATTCTACAATGTTTATTGGATCAGTCCAACTCTGAACCATATAATAAATGTTTTTACACATTCTAGTTGCAATTTTATTACCCTGGGAAATTCCTGTTGAAAGTTTTGTAGGAACTATAAACTGCTATATCCCATATTGTGTTCTTGGAGCAAGGGGAATGTCACCTCACTGAATACGCGTGCTTTTTTGCGCTCAAGAGTTTCGTATTACGATTGTGCGTGAACAATCTTATAACATGGGTGGTGAATTATTGCTTTTTTGTCAGTGGGTTTGTAATTTGTTGGTGACAGTAAAATAAACACAGAAAATATATGGGATATGTTTAGCAGTTGAAAATCACTTTGCACTCAGACTAGTTAAAAAAAGAATCAATATTTTCATGGACAAATATAAGTAAAAATACTTCATTAAAAATGTGATTTTTTTGTGTGCAAAAGGTTTCTAATGTTTACTTTAAGTCTACAGAATTTTGTAAAGATACACTTAAAATATGAAAAGTTATAGCATGAAACTATAACAAGCACAAAATAGTTATGAGGTCGGTCCCAGGTACCGAGCCTGTGTCGAAAGAGTTAATGGGTTTTTTCCCTGGGTCTTTGGATGACCAAATTCGACATGACAGATGCTTACTTTCATATCCCTATTGCTCTGGAGTCACGTTGTTATCTTCAGTTTGTCCATGGGGATGATGTGTTCCAGTTCTATGCACTGCCATTTGGTCTTGCCTCATCTCCTAATGCATTCTGTCAGGTTGTCTGTGCCTTTGCACATCATCTTCATTTGTTCGATCTTTGTGGTCATCGTTACATGGACAACTGGCTCCTGCTTGCCTCTTCCCAAGTCCAACCTGCCAATCATACCCGCTTCCTGTTTTAGGAGTCTGATCGGGTGGGGTTTCTCATGAAGGTGGAGAAGTCCTTCCTCCCTCCCACTCAATATCTCATTCATTTGGAGGACCTCTTCAATTCCCATCTCAGGGATCAAGGCCAAACTTGTTTGGTGGCTCGACAGGGGTCTCACCACAGTGGAGGTTCCTTTTTTTCTCCTCCTCATTCCAACTTGCATCTGTTCACAGATGCTTCTTTGGTGAGTTGGGGGGCTTCCCTTAATTTCAGGAGATTTTGGGTTGGTTCATTGAGGAATCAACTTACCATATCAACCACTTGGAGCTGTTGGCAGTTCATTGTTTAGTCACTCATTTATTCTCACTCTTACAAGATTGAGTGGTTATGGTTCCTTCCAACAATTCAACTGTTATCAGTTATATCTCCAAACAAGGGGGTACTAAGTCCAGGGCCCTGTGTTTTTCACAGTCAACCTTTATACTAGGCTCACAGCTGCAACATCTCACTCTTGGCATGTCATGTTCTGGGTGTTATGAATCTAGTTACAGACCATCTATCCTACCCCAAATAAATTCTTCCAACAGAGTGATCCCTTCATCCAGGGGTTTTTCAGTTGGTGTGTTCTTGCCTGGGTATGCCTCATATTAATGCATTTGCAACCCGTTTGTATGACAAACTTCCTTTCTCTTGGTCTCCTATCCCACACCCCTCAGCTTTGGGGGTAGCTGCATTCAGTCAGGATTGGAGGGACCTTCATCTGTATGCTTACCCTCTGATCAGACTCCTCTCCAGTGTGCTCTTCTTTCCATGTGTTACTAGTTACTCCATTTTGGCCTGTTCAGTCATGATTTCCTCTACTTTTGGCCCTTACTGGAGCAGCAACCCCTTCCCTTACCTTCATCCAGGTCTCTGTTCTGACAACCTCGATCCAATGTGTTTCATCCAGATGTTACCAAATTCCGTCGTCATACATGGCTTTTGTCCAGTCCATTGCCTCCACTCAGGG